CTAGCCACCAAGCACTTAACCACTGTGACCCAAGGGCTCTCCACTTCAGAGACGAAAACCAAATAAAACCCCACTGCCACGCGGGCGATTCTGACTCAACTTGGTCCTATACAACAGAGTCGGGAGAGAGAGGAGGCTCTCTGCTCCCAGAAAGATGGACAGTCGGAAAACCACTGGGCTAGGGTTGCTGCGAGTTGGAACGTGGCCTTTTTAATAGGACAGAGTAGAATACCCCAGAAGGCTCCCGGGGCTGTAAGACTTCATGGGAGCAGACGGCCTCAGAGCAGCTGGCGGGCACGCACTGCCCTGTCCACTCTGCTCTCCGCTCCTCCCTGCCACTGGAGCTGCTGCCCCCACAACCTTTGTTGTGCTGTGAGGGACCCACGGGCCCTCAAGGGCAGCTTGGCATGGGTAAGGACTCTGGACCTCAGGTAACCTCGCTCACTGGGCAGCCCCACAGGCCTGGCCTGTTCTTCCCTGTGGGTGGCCGATGCTCCCGGAGGCACAGTGAGTCTGGCTCAGCTTCATGGTGGCTGGCAGTGCCCCGTCTAGGTGGTTCACCATCTAGGAGGGCCCAGGCTCCTGAGAAACTGCTCTGGGCATTGAGGCTGCAGGGGATTGGCTGGTCCCCTGCTGGGAGCCCCCTGGGGCTCTCTGATCTTTAATCTGACATCCAGCAAAGGCCCCTGAGCAGCTGCTCTCAGGAGCCCACAGGCTGTCCCCCGGACTATGTGCACCCCCCCACCCCCCGCCACTGCTCCTCAGCTGAGCCTCCCCTGCCAAAGTGGCATCTCGAGGGGCCAGGGGCTTGTACCCACGGCCAGGGAGTCTCGGTACAAGTGTTGTCAGGCCTCTATCAGGCAGGGTCCTCTGGGGTGGTACCCAGGTGGCCCGGTGTGGCCGTGGCAGCAGTAACACTCAGCTTGGCAGACAGGAGCCCCAGCCAGTAGACCCCGCTTCTGTAGTGACACGTCCCCTCCTCTGTTGCAGGGCCGAGCGGGCAGTGACGGAGCAAGAGGGATGCCAGGGCAGACGGGCCCCAAGGTAAGTCACTCCT